AAGAGTTTGCTGTGGGTTTAATAAAGAATTTCTGCGTCGTTGCACATTTTTGATTGCAGTATGTAAATTTGTGATTTGAGAATTTTTTGCCTAAACTATAAAAGTATAGTACTATAAAGTCCTTGTAGAAAATGCTTTTTATAAGATTTATATGAAGTATTTCGAGAGGAGACTCTACTCTCTCTAAAAGGGTTCAATTCTCTCGAATTTGGTATTATTCTCTCGAATGGGGTCTTATTCTCTCGAATGGGGTCTTATTCTCTTGAATTAGGTCTTATTCTCTCAAATTGGATCTTATTCTCTTGAATTGGGTCTTATTCTCTTGAATTGGGTCTTATTCTCTTGAATTGGGTCTTATTCTCTTGCATTGGGTCTTATTCTTTCAAATCGGGTCTTATTCTCTTGAATTGGGTCTTATTCTCTTGAATTGGGTCTTATTTTCTTGAATTAGGTCTTATTCTCTTGAATTGGGTCTTATTCTCTCAAATTGGGTCTTTTTCTCTTGAATTGGGTCTTATTCTCTTGAATTGGGTCTTATTCTCTTAAATTGGGTCTTATACTCTCAAATTGGATCTTATTCTCTCGAATCGGATCTTATTCTCTCGAATTGGGTCTTATTCTCTTGCATTGGGTCTTATTCTCTTGCATTGGGTCTTATTCTCTTGAATTGGGTCTTATTTTCTTGAATTAGGTCATATTTTCTTGAATTGGGTCTTATTCTCTTGAATTGGGTCTTATTCTCTCGAATTGGGTCTTATTCTCTCAAATTGGGTCTTATTCTCTCGAATTGGGTCTTATTCTCTCGAATTGGGTCTTATTCTTTCGAATTGGGTCTTATTCTTTCGAATTGGGTCTTATTCTCTCGAATCGGGTCTTATTCTCTTGAATGGGGTCTTATTCTCTCAAATCGGGTCTTAACCTCTCGAGAAGAATTTTACTCTCTCTAGGAGGGTCCAACAATGAATAGCGATTACAAATCAATCTTGTGATTCGAACTAAAGACATTTGAGTGGTGCATAGCATGAGCCCCTAGAGACTTAAATTAAAGTTTGTGTTTCATCCCTAAATTATTTCACAAACTTCTCACAAGGAAGCCTTTCCATTCTTCAATTTTTATCACAGCAATGGATATAAAGTACTTTCTATTTACTTAACTTAACTTTACGCTCGTGTGTATACTTTCGTATCGAATATCGGGGCTGTAAAATGCGGAGACCCTTACAACACAATTTTACAGTCCCTTCCATTCTTTTTTTACGGTGAGCTGAAAATTACGACGATACAATTTTTTTTAAAGGCATCTTGCATCATAAAACTGTATACGGAGTAAGTTGTGGGATATCATCAATTTTATTGTTAGTATAAGTTGCCTAGCTTGTTTACTTTTTTATGTCAATTGGAGCCGTATTTTTTTGTTCTGTTATGCTGCTTTCGAATCTCTCAGTTTTTTGTGTGTTTTTTCGTTTTTTTTTATTAATAATTAAAAGTTGCTGATTCAAAATGAATGAATGAATGAAATAAAAATGAAAGGTTGGTAAATAGAAAGGTAGACTATGTAAATAATATAAAAGTACGTGGAGATTCAGCTTTATTTTGAGGTAATATTGTGTTGGGGGTAGTAAAATAATGACGTCCTTTAATTTTGAGGTTATGGGATGCAATGAGGACTGTCGTGAGTTTTTTGAATTGTTTTTTGGTCACAAAATAGTTTGAACTAAGTCTTTAGTCCTCAATATTATTTCGTTTGTTGCGAGTTAATGAGTAGATACTATATGCAGCTCTAAACTTCCATTAACAATGTTATAAACCAAGAAATGCAAGTCAGCGTGACTCTGGCATTCTATTTGAGTCGATTTGAATCCAGAACCATTCTAGAGTTCGAGTCAACTTGACTCCATACAAAATTTCATTGACTTCGAGCTCTGGTTCGGACCCATGATCCCAAAAATCATCCCCACCATCCCCAATATTTTATTCCAGATTTATTAACATCATAAGCTGCTTTTGTTATGTTTACAAAGAACTTGAAATGCTTGCAACATCAACGGTACATAAAAATGTTGTACAATTTTTTTTATTACAAAATTCTACTGTTGCATTTATTTTTTTCTTGCATTGTTGTAAACGAAAATTGAATTTCTACTGCCATTTAATGAAATTTTTCATTATGCATGAAACTCATTCTTTACATTTTTATTCCTTCAAAGCTTACATATCGAGAGGAAGGAAGACTCCCCTTTGTGATTATCATGATGAAAATTTATTATGATTTTTTTTAATGTTGAAATACAGAATGAAAACTTCAAGGAAGTTTAAATTATTACAGCATGAATAAATAAATTAAAATGTGAGTCGACATGAGTTTTTAAAAGAATTGAGGATTTTTTTTCTTTTATTTGAAAAGTTTGAATAGATATTATGTTGAGTTTGACTTGAAACTTTGTTACCTGTTGCTATAGAAGTTCTAACATCCATCTGTGAAGTTTTAATTAATTCTGATAAAATCAGGGAATGCTTAAACATTTACGTTATTTCAACTTTAAGATTCTTGACATTAAAGAGTTTATGACTTTTTATTAAAGCTTCTGCAGCTGATGAGAAGCTTGAAATATTAAAAACAATCGTTCTTAACTCTTCAGGGGGGGTTATTTTGTAGACAGAGGATCGTTTTAGGTTTCGAACTTAAGATTCTTGTGTCATCATTATGATTTTCATTTTCTACAATTTTATTAAATTCCAAAACTCACCAATTCCAATTTTAAAGCATCAAACCTATGAAAAATCACCACAAAAACCTTCCTTTTAAATTTACAATTTCAATACCTAAATTCCATATAAAAAATTACAATACAATCTCGTTTGCAATTCATCAAAGAGAGAAATCAGAAAAAAAGGAATTGAAACCACTTCGCAGTACTTAAAAATATCTTTATTTTATATTCACAACTCACTTATAACAAGAAAAGTGGAGAGACTCTCTCAAATGGAAATGTTGAATGGAACAAATGAAATATCAAGATTGGAAAGGAAAATTTGCAAGGGATGGACATTCTGAATTGTTTTCTATGACAAATTTATGAGTAGCTTTTGGCTAGGGAAGAAGCGATTAGAGAAAGCTGGTTTCGAATATCCAAGAAAATTTCGAGGGAGTAACTTGAGTTTAGCATAAACGAGATTGGTGGGGGGGAGTAGGGATGTTGTGGCTTGAAAAAATAGGAAGATTAGAGACTTGATCAAAGCTATGGGGAGTAGAAAACAAACAACACATTCACCACTGGATCCTTCAACGCTAAGTCACTGAACCTATACCTAATACTATCCCAAATATACCTTAAGCAAACTAAGCTGAGGTAAACTGAGGTAAACCACATCCTACACCAGAATTCACTAAATAAGAATCTGTTTAACAAATGCCTAGAAACCGAAAAACCAAGTTCCATTCCTTGTCATAGTCCTCAATACGAGAAACAACACTACAATAAAGATAAGCAACAAAAATACATTTCAGAAAATTGTAATTTTCCGAATTATTATTTACATACCTTTCATTTCGAGTGCATTGTTCGCTCTTTCTATTTCTATTGTGTATTGCCGGTATACGACATCGTATTTCTGTACTATGTTGTAATAGAATTGCATACAAAATTTGTTTCTCAAGAAGATTGTATAAAACATCATTTTCATGCTCATTCATGTAATCACACGATCTTTTGTTTTCTTTTCCTTCCTTTCTCTCTTTTTTTGTATTTACTTTATTTTTGAGACACAAAAATATGTAGTTATTTTTCGGTAGAGCATAAATAAGTTTATGGAGAGTTTGGTTTGAGTGTTGTGAGCGCATTTTTAAGGTAGATTCTGAGTTATTATGTAGTTATAATTGTCCAACTGTGCATTTTTGAGAGGGACAGTCCCGCTTTTTTGATCAAAGTCCCGTCTAAAATCCTTAATGTCCCGCATTTTTGAAAATATTTTTCTTGAAAAATGCTTGAAAATTTGCTCTGTCCTGCTGAAATCGGGACATTTTTCGCTTTTTGATCAAACATTGGCCAAAACAGCCTAGGGGCTGTTCACTTATTACGTAACGCGAAAAAATGACTTCTTAGACCCCCCCTCCCCCCCTCGTAACAAAATTTGTATGAAAAAAAATTTCCTTGTTTGAACCGTAACAAAATCTTAGACCCCCCCTCCCCCTAAAAGCGTTACGTAATAAGTGAATGGCCCCCTAGTTATAATAGTTTTTTTGTGACTCATGCTACACAGAGATAATGAGTAAGTGAATAAATATAAAGCTTAGCAATACAACTTGGGTTCAAATCCCAAATTTACATTAGAATTTGTGCATTAATTTAATAATTTCATTTCGATTGCATTATTTTTGCATTTTGATTATCAATTTGATGATAATTTCTTTAGGCACATTATATCAATTTAGGGCAGTGATGGCTAACCTATGTGCTGTGGCACACTAATGTCTCTCTCATTCTCCTTGTTTTTTGGTTAAGCTTAGAAAGACCTAGGAAATCGTTTAATTATGACGTCCAAAATTAACGGTCATTTTTCAAAAAAAAACATTGGATTTCTATTCTTTTTGTCTTGCTGACCCCCCCTCCTCCGTTTATGGACGTCATAAGTGAACGGCCTCTAGTAAAGGTATTCGTTCAATAATATTCGATCATTTAGAACTATCTTGACATCATACAGTGACTAAATGTCTACAAATCAACATAACCTCAAAAAAACATGTTAAAAACTCAAACGAAGAATTTAAAACTTTAAAAAAAATTTCCCAAACCAGAAAAATGACATCGCTTTAAGAAAAATTCTTTTCTGTATTTTTTTTCTCAAATAAAATGATAAAATGAAAAAAAAAATCTTCTCACAATCGAATTTTGCGCTCAATGTGGATGAAAGAAAAAGAAATCGTTATTTTTAAAGCGATCTCTGAGTTGTTTGTGTAAAATAAAATACACACGAAAATTTAACTAATTTTCTCAGTTTTCCGCGGGTCTTTGAAACTTTAACATCGTTTTAAAATTATTTTTTTGTGTGTGATTTTATTTTTCACATAGCACAGATCGGAACGGAAAAGAAAAGAAGAAAATATTTCCAAGTTTATTCAACTCAAATTATTTAAAATTTGATTCGAAATTTACAAATTTTTAAAGTGTTGTCATCAGCGACTTTCTTAAAAATTCTCATTAATTTCTGCGAACGGAAAGTTATGAGAGACGTGAAAAAAGTTATTTTTATTTAGGTGATTTTTCTTGCTTTCCCGGGTTTTAAAATAGTGAATTTTTTTTCTTCCTTGAGAGAATTTTTCTACAATTTTTTTACTCACTTTTTTGCTACTTTTAGCGCATTTTATTGAGCATGATGAGATAATAAGTTGTGCATTTTATTTGTCTATGATCTTATCATGTGCATTGTTATTAAGACTTGGAGTCTTCGAGATATTTTGTGATATTTCTGTTTTGTAAAATTGCTTTTGGCATATTGTGCGGTATTTGCTGCTGTTTCGTAACAAGGTGGAATATTTAATGAAGATTTTGAGAATTTTTCTCGTTGAAGATATAGCGATGCAGCAGGGCATGTTATCATTTCTAAGTAGACATTTGAATGTAATAAGATTATACGCAAGCATTGCTGGCTATAAGAAAGGTTTTGAAATTTTTCTTTGGTTTCTTGCTTGGCTTTTAGAAGACACTTGCGGCTATTTGACAAAATCTTAATATTAAGCAAAACTGGAGTATTCAATTCATAATCAAATTAAGTCAGACTAGTTAAGATTCGAACCCGTTCACTTTAATAAGAGGATTATTAGCTCCTGCAACTTATTGGTCAGACAATCGATGCAACATAGTAAATTTAGTTCAATTTGACTTTTCGTCATTTAAAATCACCACAAGCTAGTGAAATAATCAAGAATAAAAGGCTGAAATAAAATAATTCAACCAATAGATCGTCCTGAAAGGGAATCGAACCTCATTCCTCTCGATTACAGAACTTCATACTAATTTCTCATACATGTGATCTTGATATAACTTGACGTCTTTTGCTGCAAATGCATTTATTCTAGTTGTGGTGTCGAATCACAGTGGAATCTGGGTTATCGAGACATATAAAGGTGAATCTGCCAGTGAGAATGTTAAGCCTCCGTGGAACGAGTGGCTAGGCACTATATCTCTAACCATCTTTTGTGAGGCCATGGGTTCGATTCTCATCAGAAAACGATCATATCGTTATATTAATTGTTGTCGATATAACAAGAATTCACACAATGCTCACAACATTACACTTGTCTTTCTGAAACCTAGTATATAATAATAATGTGAGAGAGTTCTGACCAAGCGGTGTGTCACTACAAGTAGCGACGAGCTGAAGGCACTTCGATCCTGATCGATGAAAGAATCTATTGTACCGTTCCTTGTGAATGAGTTTAGATAGTATTAAGTAGCTCCGGTATCCCGAGCTTTTCAAGAAACCTAGTATAAATTGGTATAAATCATCTCTGAATCTTTCTAAGTCAATTTTCATAAGTTTTTCAAATTTTTTTCAAGTTACACGATTAACAACTGAAGTTTAATCAAACTTGATCATTATATCTTCCAGAAACTTCATCCATTATTGAAACTATCATAAAACTTTTGTCATATCAATTGACATATCGCAGATTCTCAATAATCTTCCAATAAACTGCGCTATTCAGAGCAAAAAAAAACTTTTTTCATATTAACCGTGCTTTCATTAAATTCTATATGAAAAATATAGCGAAACAAGTTGAGTGAGAACGAGACGAAGTGAGAAAGAATCATAGCAAAAGAAAAATAATACGAAAATGTAAGTGTGAGGCGGTATATAAAAATAGCAAAAGAAAGTGGATGTCAAATTTATTAAAATTTGCTGTCGCATGACGTAAAGCAATGCAATGAGGAAGTTTTTTTTTCATAATATGAGCAGTGCTGCATGGCTGAGGAGAAGAAAGAATTTCTTCATGCTGTGCTTTAGCATGTTTTTAATGGAATATGAGAAATGTTGGGTTAGGTTTTGTTGTGAATTTTATAAAATATATTGTTTAAGGAATATGAAGGCTTAGTGATGAAATTTTCATACACAAAACATTACATATTTCCGGGTTCTAATTATAAACATTGTGCTGTGTAGTTGTGAAACTTGATGGAGATTTTCTCACGTTTTTCTGAAAAACTCAATAGAAATCAGAGTTTCTAGTTCTTTTCAGAATTTCGCCTTAATTTCTCAACCATTCCAGCAAACTCAAGAGTGCAAGCCAATCACAAAGCATTAAATAAATCATCATTATGTATCAACATCTATTACATTATACTGCGATAAATCTCTGAACATGCCACTGAGACCACTCGGATTTTCATAATTTGATTTTTTAAGCTTAACATCTGCTTCAATTCTAAAGTTTCAGTAATCCGGAAAAATATTAAAATATTTGCTCCAAATATTCTTTTTATGATTTGTTTATAAGATGTGAAGAACTTTGAAGAATCGAACTCAATTTTTTGAGTTTTATGGCCTTGTGGGAATTTCGTCAGTTATGAAAAGTTTTAGGTTATATTAGAAGTCATTCAGAAAAGATGTTCTTATAAAATTAAACCAATCAGGGGGAGGGGGCGTTGAGTTGAAGTCGAGGTTAACTCCAAAGTTTACTTCAAAGCATTATTTAAGTTGATGTCCAGTTAATGTCAAGTTGAAGTCAAGCTAAAGTCAAATTGATATCAAGTTGGGGTCAAGTTGAGGTAAAGTTTAAGTCAAGTTATATCCAAGTTGATGTCAAGTTAAATTCAAGTTAATGTCAGGTTAAATCCAAGTTGATTTCTACCTGAAGTCAAGTTGATGGCAACATGAATTCAAGTTGAAATCAAGTTGAATTCAAGTTGAGTCATGTTGCTGCAACTTGCTCTGGCATCTAGCTAAAAGTCTTAACTTGATCTCCAATATTCATTGATTCAAATTATTCAAGAAATTTTGAAATATCATTCACAATCTGACGAAAGTAAGCTGTTCCTCCCTATACACATCCAATAATATTGAGAGAGGTCACTGTGTAAAAAAATGTAAACTAAAATAATTTTTTATTGCACACAGAAAAAGATCTATAGCGTCTGAAGACATAAATAACTATGTTAATGTGCTAAAAATAGCAATAGTCGGCGTATATCTTCATATGCGCTTCACTTGTACATAAAACAAAAAAAAAATCCTCTCTTCTCAAAATCTTCTATAAATAATTGAGAGAAAATGAGGAAAATATTTCTCAATGTAGACGTAATAGTCGTTTTAATTTCATTGACTTTGCGGTGATTTTGAGACTGAAAAAAAATTGTGAATTTTCAAGAGTAGGCAATTTTTGTAAGATCTTGACGAGTTGATCTGTGGTGTCGTCGCAACAAGATCCTTGGTGGATTAGTGTCGATGGTTAAAATGTAATTGATACGAATTTTTGTGGTGCCGGTGAATTAAGGTTACAATAAGGTGGTCTGTAGTGAAATTTGAACTAATTTTTGCAAAAAACCACAATCGATACCCCAAAAATGGTGCTGTAGTACCAGAAAATGCGCTTTAGCCCTTAAAAAATCCCAATAAAATGTTGTCAAAAAGTATCGAACATTAATTTGTGAAAAATGTTCAAATAAATGAAAACAGATGATTAACTCGGGCAGTAGTGATGATTTTGAAAAAAAGTAGCGGCGATAGAAGTAAAAAGAATTTTTTTTTGGCACGAATAGGATTGAGGTCATTCATCTATATAATGTATTGTGTTGTATATCGACGCAAGACATAGAATGAAGATAAATAATAGTACAACATGTTACTGAAGCGATAGCAATAAAATAAACATTTTTTTCGGCAATTTTTTAAGCACACTTTATGATTTATTGGACGAGTTTTTGTTTTGTCTGTCTGATTGCATGACTTGTTTTTGTGGGGTTTTATTGAGAATTGTTTTGGTGGATTTTATTGTGTAAGGGGGTTTACATTGATATTTATTGGCATACAGGATCGATTGAAAATTTGCTTTATTGAGCATTAAGTTCATTTTATTTCTTTTTCAATGCCATTAACAATTGTCAATTGAAGGTAGGGTTGTCTAGGGATTATTTTGTGATTTTTTGAAGATTTGTGTTTTTAAAGAATTAGCATGTCTAAGCTCTTTAACCTTTCAAACTCTTCAATCGGTTTTCTTACAATACTTTTCACAAAGCACCAAAATTCATCACATGTCCGACTAAGTTGCAATGAAAAATGTCTGTTAAAATTGCACATAAATTTAAAGTGATCTGAACATGTTTTTCATTGAATTCTTCTTCATATCCACAAATAGATCTGTTTATAATTCGAACTACATTTGAGCCAGCCAGTCAGTATATAAGCGGCTGCTTATAAATTAATAAATGACCATTAATGTAGCTATAAATAATCTTAAAGGAAGAAGAAAATTTTAAAAAGAGAAGAAAATATTGAGTAGGCAAATTTTAACAGCCTGATGATGATGATCTATGAGTGTTAAAGTGATGATTCAACTTTTATGGGTTTTAAAGAATGTTTTTGAAGATTAATATAAAGAGAGGAATATGAAGCTAATATGGGATTTTTAATTTATGGAACATATAAATTGATGTCAGGTGATTATGAGAAGTTTGATAGTTTTGTGAAGTTTTTAATTGAGAGAAATATGAAATTTTTGAGCTCAGAATCAAAGAATGGCTTGATATCAGCCGATATTAGTCTGTTTGCCTTGAATGAGCGCTGTTTAAATCAACTAGACTCATTTTGAATTGAGTGAATTCGGTTTATTTCAAATTGACTCGTTTTGTCTAGACTGAACTCGGTTTGACTAAACAGAACTTAGTTTGACTCAATGCAACTCGGTTTGCCTTAACAAAACTCAGTTTGACTCAACAATACTCGTTTGATACTCCAGGGTAATAGCTTGTATTGTTTTATCTCTTTTAAACTAGTATTTGACAAGATACAAACGCCTTAATTATTCAAACTTACAAGAACATCTGAAAAATCTCCAATACCTACAAAACATTCACAAAAAAGTGCTCAAAACATTTAATGACCCGATCAAAATCTCCAACTCCTACTTTCGATTACCCTTCAGCCTTTTCTTTTGGCACACAAACTTCTAAGAAGTCTCAAATTACTTTCTTAATCTGTTTGAGTTTGAATACATAGGACCAGGAGAAAAACATTTAAAATCGTTGCTCTTTTTTTATCCTCAAAGTTTTCTTTTCAATCTTTTGAAGAGCCTTCCTGGAAATAAGAGATTTATTTTTAATTTCTTTAATAACAAATTTACTCCTACACTTTATATAAAAATATATTTTTGACATATCAAAATAAAAGGGGAGAACAAAATGATGGAAAAAGTTTTGATATAGAATTTCCCGCCAAAATTTTGATTTGAATTGTTGAGAAAATGATAAAAAAATTCTATTAAAAACTTTTTCTCATCATGTTGTTTCCCCCCTTATCAAAAGTAAGTCAATAAATCTTAATTCATAAAAAAATGTTCAAGCTCCACTAAGCTTTAATATCAACACATCAATTAAATGCGTTGTTAAGTCGACCTTTTTCGTAATAAACCTTTCCAATTCTCAAATTCCATATGTGCGTTAAGCATCCATTAAACATGAGTCTGCCATCTTCCTACATACATTTAATCTTCTTATTTCATTTATTTTTAGTGTCATACGTAAGAAGCAGCCATAATGTCCAATCAACTCTGGAGACGAACGATGCCGGACTGGATTGTAAGAAGATTCTGCCTTAATTATAGTCCTTTCATATAAATAACATTAATTTCCATTTAGGGATCACAATCAGATAGAGTTGGTCCCCCACCACCACCATTGCCAACAAAAAGAATAAATCCTGATCCGGACTATGAAACCATTGACTTTTCAACTCAGCAATATAGCAACGCAACACCAAAAATGGCCGTAAAGGATGTCATGCAAGCAAGTCCTGCTGATGTTGGCCTTAAATGTGAATTATGTGGCACAATTGGTCCGGTTATTAAGTGCGAACAATGCGTTAAAAATTTATTTTGCTACACATGCGATGACATGTTTCATCGTCATCCCAAGAGACAGAATCATTTGAGGAAGGTAGGAGTGTGTGATGATGTCAAAGACCTTTTCTTAATTACCCACTAAATACTTTCATTATTACTCCATAATTAACAGCGTGTTGACTTGGGAAATTTACGACCTCCATTGCCACCGAAGCAAACTCAACAACCTCCACCCGTTGCTCCAGTACCGCCTCCAAGACGTAATCGAAAAAGCTGCCTTTCAAGTCCAATGCCCGAACGACGTGATCAGGTATGCAATGTATCATAAAAAAAAATATTGTATTACAAAAAGCTGATGAAAGATGTAGCAGTTTTAGAAAAAAAGGAAAGGAATGGAAAGAGTAAAAGTGATTAAGTGATGCACATAAAATGATTGATGAAGTATATAATTTGTGATGAATAGTGAAATTACATTGCAACATAAAGTAGCAAATTTACTGCAAATATAAATTGACAAACTCAAGATTATTGACATATGAGATTTATATTACTTCTTTTTTTTATTTGCTGTTTGGATGGTCCCTTGTTGTAGGATTTGTTAGGATTCTACTGATGAGTTTGGAAGTGAAATAGGATATTGCTTGGTCTAAGGTTGCATGCGGGTTCGTTGTGGGGTAGTATGTTGTTTACAGGAATGAGGGAGGCCTTATATCGACGTCCTTGTCTCGCTGTCTTTTGCTAAGATTCTGACAAAATCATCATACACCCCCCCCCCCCCCCCCCCCTTCCCCCCTCAATAAATAATCCATTTCCCCGTTTCATTTTATTTGTTTTCTTCCTTTCCTCACTTATTTCTTCAACAATATTTTTAAAAGGATTTACGTTCATCGTGGATCAGAGCGCGAAAGAGAAATTTCGATGAAAAGTGAACTAATCAATCTCAATGATTGACAGGTTGACTTTTTTTCTTCTCATTCAATGCGATAATCGCTTCTCATAGACTTTACTATGTGCTACAAGAGTAGTCGTTGCTTAAAGTGTGAAAATTCAATCGTCAGTTATTGATTCAGCTGGCCAGTGGGGAAGGAATGTTTATTGAATGATGAGGGAGGAATTTATTGAACTGATTCTATTGAAGAATTCATTCCATGGTAAAGTTTTATCATTAACGGTTGCGGTGCATATTTGTAGTTAATTATTGATGCATTGATGGTTGCGATTACATCAATAATCTTGTATGTGGAAAAGTTTGATATGAGCATATGGACGCGTTTTATTTAATTTTAATGAACAAGTTATGGCTGTGTTGAATTTTGTGAAAGGTTTTTTCGTGGAAAACATATTTATAAAAACCTATAAAAGCGTAGCTATGGACTTTCCCTACTGTCAGGGATCAGATTTGCCTCAATTCTGCGAACGTCGAGGATAAATGAACTATTCATTACAGATTTGACGAACAAGTTATACAGTCGCTTTATGTCTGTCATTCAGCGTTAATGACACCCTATTAAAGGCTATAATTTGCTTAAATTTTTTTTTTGAAAACATATTAAACATCTCAGCTCATTGTTGGGCTGTATCATTTGAAGAAGCTAAGAAAGAGTAAGTGCTTAGTAAACCATCCACAAACCATTTGAGCACCAATATAAATTTGCCGTCCTGATCGGATCCACAACCTTTTCTCATGTAATTTTAGACTCCAAAAAAATTATGACTTTCGTCATTTTATCAGAAAAATAGAATTAATCAAGAAGATTCTTGCGACATCTTTAAGTGTTGACAGAGTTTATTTTCGTCCTCCAAAGCTGTTTTTATAAGCTATTGAAAAAAGAAAGCAGTTTATAAAATTCTTTTGCTTCCAAATACTTTTTTCAAGAATTTTAAATTTAGAATTATATTAAAATTTGTGTACAGGTGTCATAAGAAGCTTTGTCAATTTTTTTGGAGGATGAAGAGCAAGGATGTGGAACTGAAGAATTACATTTTGATCATTTTTGATCAATTTTGATCATTTCATCAGTACCACACCCTTGATGGGGAGTCGATTATTAAACATAAATTTTGATATTCAAGAAAAATCGAAATCAGGGATGAATCTTAATAAATCAAGATAAAAAAATGTAACAAAATCCAAACTATGCCAAAAGAATTACATCAACAACTTCCAAAAATAAACATCCATCGATCAAATATTTATTGACCCCCGAAAAAAAATCATCAATGCATCATCCTATCCACTGGCTTTGTTGATACTTTTTCTCAAATTTCTCTCATTGTTTTCTTCCTATTTATCCGCGTTGTGACATAGCTTGCATAAGCACACAGTTTGTAAGTAGGTTGAAGTTTATGGTATATAATATTCTTGTGACACATGACACAGTTTGGCAATTTATATTTTTAAATTTCATGACTCAAAAATCGCGACAATTTTTTTTGGCTTCAGAAATAAGCATGAATAGCAAGTAGATAGGCAAAGAAAAAATAATAAAAAAAAGTATTTTCTAAAAAAAACCAAAACAAACAAAACATTTTTGTACTCAAAGGCGTTGAAACAGCAACAACAGGAGCAACAGACAGCGGCATTTAATGCAACGTTGAAGGAAAAATTGGATAGTTTACAAAAAAGTGGAGGTATCCGTAACCGTCCTCTGCCAGACATACCGAGTGAGTATTTTTTTGAGGGGTGTGAAATGCTCTACGAGTTTTTGGATCAGAATCAGCCCACCCACATTTTCATTATAACTCAATTTTACTTCCACATAACTAATCAACAGCACAACAACAGCAAATATTCTTTTCATAATAATAATCAACAATCTATTCTTATTCGTAGTGCCAGGAACAAAAAGGATTGAAAGGCCACAAGCACCTATCACACCCAAAGAGGAATTAAAGGGAAATATTTTCGATGCAATCAAAAAGCCACCGTCAGTGGCAATGGAGAAAATAAAGAATTCGACAGCAGCCACACTCGATAGAATGGCAACATTACAGGCACGATATCGACAGTATAAAGAAACTATGAACTCTGATAATTCAAGCGATAAGAGTCGTCGAACGAGTATCGCATCAACGATTGACAGCAATGTAAGTACATGCATGCATAACATGTCATAATTCCTATTATGTTTCACTTGTTCTGTGACTGACATGATTGACATATTTTTCAATGTAGTCAATTCCGCAACTTACTAACCGTCCACCCATACCAAAACAACAGCAACAACAAATTCAGTCGTCAACAAAACCACCAGCACCACCACCCCATGTCACTAATAATCAACAATACCAGCAAAATTGGCAGAATGACTTGCGACATTTTGACAACTTTCCCCATCCTTTACCTGGTCTTCCTCAATTTCCATATCCACAAAATGTAAATCAATCGAAAATGAATTCTTTTATGAATCAGGCGACGGCCGTTAAACGACCAGTTCCGATGCCAGGCAATAATTTGCAAGCACCAAGGCGCAACATGAGTGCTTCTGTGTCAAATTTAAATCACAGTGGAACTGGATATCCTTCAATGCCTAATAATTTCCAACAGCAGCAGCAACAACAGCCACAGCAGCAACAAAGTCAGTGGGGATTTACGCCTGTAAATCAAGTAATGAAACTTTTTTTTATTGATTTTCTCTGCTGAATATTTTTTATGTTCACAGGCACAATCCATGGCACAGCTCAACATGATGCAAAACTCATGGAATCAACCGCAATCGCAGTGGATGGGCGGAGCCTTTAATGGATCGAACATGAGTCTTAATATGCCACCACATTTTATGCACAATAATGATCCAAACAGTATGGGATGGAATCCTTGGATGCAACAGTATCCATATCCACATCCAATGATGAATAATATGCCTAACGGTAATAAATGATTTTGTGATTTTTGAATGATTGTTGTGGCTGCATGTTCCCAAAAAATATATGCACTGTTCATCTCCGACATGCTTAAATTACCTCACGACTAAAAATCACAAAAAATCGCACCAAAATTTAATTTCCGTCACGCAAAAATAATAACACTCATTCATTCTTTCTCTTCCATGACGAAATAAAAATAAAATAAAATCATCAGGAATGCCACCACGTTCGAGAGTCCAATCACGAGTTCCATCACGTGCAGCCTCGCCAGCATTAAGTGTACGTTCGCGTCGTTCAATGATGAGCTCGAGACAACGAAATAAATATGTGCATCAAGATCTCACAGACGATGAGGATTCCGATATTGAACAGCATTTTACTGACGATTCAAGGTCGCGCAATAAACGGCTTTTAGACTTGAAGGCTGGCGGTAGACAACGAAGGAACACTGAAACATTTGAATTGGATTATCGTGATAATGAAGTCATTACTCGCATACAAAGGATGAAGGAAAAGTCTAAATATATCCGTGAGAGAAGAAGTGGTTCACTGACAAATTGGCCATCGACAAAGGATCATGACAGTCGCAGTGTAACTCCATCAGATGACGAAACTAGAAAAATTTCATCAAAACACCGCAAGTCGTCATTAACATCGCCAATTCCTAATTCAAAGAAAATTCTATCTGATTCTGCATCCGAAGAGGAAACATCTGTAAAACCATCAAAACATACGAAAGCAAGCAGAAGTGACTACGATGAGCATGATAGAAATGAAAAGTCAAAAGTATCGTCAACAAATTCCCAGAAGGTGGCAGCAAAGAAACCAACAAATGAATCAGATAATGATGATGATGAAGTATTCGAGAGAGAACCGCAAACAAGAACCAGTAAAGGTCGACCACTTACTCTGTCGTCAACAACATCTAATTCTGTTGCAAGAGTTCCAATTAAGATGACAGATGATGGAAGTAAAGTCGACAGTTATGATGAAGATTTTGATGAGAAACCAGCAAAAAGTCAGAAGCATTTAAAGGATAAAAAGAAGGAAAATCATGCGGCAGCAGTGAAAAATCAAGATTCTACATTGACAAGGCATGAATCAACGGCTAAGAGACATGAATCTCCCGAGAAGAGAGAAGAATCTCCAGTTAGGAGACAGCACTCGCCAATTAGAAAGTCTTCAGCTTTAAAAACTCAAGAAAAAAGTAAGAATGATAATTTAAGGTCCACAGCCTCTCCAAAGGTCCAAGAACCAGCACCAATTAGAAAAGCACAAGTATCGAGTTCAAAAATAGAGCCATCAACTTCCAAAGCTCATGAGAGAACTAAAACAGAAACTTTAAGGTCAACAGCCTCTCCAAAAATCCAAGAACCAGCACCAAGTAGAAAAATTCAAGAATCCAGTCAAAAAGTTGCACTTTCAACTTCCAAAGCACATGAAATACCAGTAAAAAGTAAATTGTCTTCTAAAATACAAGAATCAGCAACAACAAGCCAAGAAGTAACATCAAAAAGTCAAGGAATAGCATCAAGAAGTCAAGAAGCAACACAAAAAAGTCAAGAATCAATCAAAAGTAAGCCATCGTCCTCAAAAAAAGCAGACACAGCGACAACATCAAAAATTAAGCCAACAGTACAAAAAACAGCCATCAGCGATGAAGAAGAATCAGAATCGGACGATGCACAAGCCTCCAAAGTCGTTGAATTACCAGGTGGAAATTGGGAATGTGAGCATTGTACATTTGTCAACGAGGCGGACACAAAAGTATGCCTTATTTGTTGTAAGACTCGTGTCGAAGTTTTGAAGCAGTTGCCAGTTGAAGATGATATTGACATTAATGAAATTAATGATTCAATTTCGCAGAATGAAAGTGATGCTAAGCAAAAAGGTAAGATTAGGAAGATAACCTTTCTGCCAGGCACTAAAGCTCATTAGATATTTTTTTGTTGTTTTATTTTGTCAAGCCTACATACTTTCATTATTACTATTGTTATTACACCTTGTACACCCTATCTTGATGCTCATCTTCTGAATTATTTTACTCATTAACTGTGTTTGTTCCCTTGTGGTGATGTTTGTGATCAATCTAGTCTAAATATTAGAATAAAATATTTAGGAGCTATGCTAGGATCTAGTATTCAAGTATTTAGAGTCCTAGTATCTAGCATCTAGTATCCTACTATGCTAGTATACAAGTATCTAGTGTTCTATTATCCTAGTATCCTAGTATCCAAGTATCCAAGTATCCTAGTACCTAGTATCCTAGTATCTAGTATCGTAGTATCTAGTATCCTAGTATCAAGTATCCTAGTATCTAGTATCCTAGTATCTAGTATCCTAGTATCTAGTATCCTAGTATTCAAGTATCCTAGTATCTAGTATCCTAGTATCTAGTATCCTATTATCTAGTATCCTAGTATTCTAGTGTCCTAGTATCTAGTATCCTAGTATTCTAGTATCTAGTATCTAGTATCCTAGTATCTAGTATCCTTGTATCTAGTATCCTTGTACTTAGTATCCTAGTTTCTATTATCCTAGTATCTAGTATCCTAGTATCTAGTATCCTAGTATCCTAGTATTCTAGTGTCGTAGTATCCTAATATCAAGTGTCCTAGTATCTAGTATCCTAGTACTAGGATAGTTTCTTTTATCTACTATAATCTTTAGAAATATTTTAACGAAATCACCACAAAGGAAGTAAATAATCCTTGTTGTCAGTTCACTTCTTGTACCTCTTTCCACACTTACTAGCATTGCCCCTTTTCTGTTACTCGTGTTTTTCTTTATAAATTTACAAGAATTTGAAATAAGAGAAGTTTGCATAATCTTTTGTACTTTATAGCTTAATTTGAAGCTTACAGGAAGTGATAGTGTAGGAGAAATGAGAAGAGATAAGGGTTGAGGAGGTGGAAAAGATTGAGAAAAAAAAAATTATATTAAATAATGGAAAATTATTGTTAAAGAGAGAAGAAAGAAGAAGATTTTGTTAAATAAGTTTGTCATATTGAGAGAGTTAGAGTTAAATTTGGATGTGCCTAGTTTGTAGGTTTTTTCATGAGGGTAGGTATTTGTATAAAATTTATAACCTAATTGTAAATAATCTCCTTCGATCAGACACATTGAATTTTAACTCCAACTCACTCAACTCAATCGAAAACTAGGTTAATCGCAAGGCACAATGAAAATCTGTTTTGACTGTAATTTTGTTAATCCTTTTTGTTATTGTTTGAATATCCTTTGGAATATTTTTGCTGAGTCTGTCGTTATTAAAGTGTTTTCAATGTTATATAGAATTTGCCATAGTTGAGCTCATATTTTGTGTATTTGTCCTTACAGCTGCAATAGATCTCAATTCCTCGCATACAAAATAGAATCTAACAAATTTGATCCAAAGGAATTAATTAAATTTATGAAAACATAAGCTATTTATAATAAGTTTTGCCTATTTTTGTACTTGAAGAATGAAACTTTTATTAAAGCAAAATTGTTTTTTTGTTTTTGTGAAATCTCAAATAGAATTAATAAATCTATAAAAAAATAGAAACTTTGACACTTTGAACTGAGATTAATCTTTTGTTTTTCTTCTTCTTCTTCTTCTTTCTATTTCTCTTATGTTCCAATTCCTTTCAATTTTTTTTCCACTTCCATCACATCCAAAAAAATGTCTTCTTTATATTCCAGTTGACACAATTGAGAATTTTAATGTCTCAACGGAGCAACTGAATGAGGACAATGAAGACGATGAATCAGTGGATGAGGAAGAAGAAGAACTAGAAAATGTTGAGAAAGAATCAATTGATGATTTATGGACTGAATCAAGAGATGACAAAGGAATTGATGTGGCAATACCTCAACTTGATAAAGAACAAGTCATTTCAGATGAATTGAATGAAATGGAAGTATTAGGGCAGGTCTCATTGGAATCTAAGGTGACAACAGCAACGGCATCAACGAATGTTGAGATATTAAATTCTACAAAGGGACAGATTAAAGTATCGACAGCATGTGGACCATCACCCGACAGAGAAATTGAAGAAATTTTCTCAAATGAAAAATCAATTCGTGTCCTTTCGCCGTCGGTGATGCGAGAAAATCAGCACAGTAGATCGTCAAAAATTTCAATTGGGACATCTCCGCCACCACAAAATATGTCGACTCAGGTAAGGATGAAGATGTTTGGAATTATTTTTGTTTTTATAGCTTGCGGCATATGTTGGAAGGATTTTTATTGAGAAAATCAATGAAGACAGTCTTTAAAAAGTCGAGATTAGTTTTGATAAGCTGGATGTCTAGTACAGCATAGATTAAAGTCATATCTTGATTTGGTGATGCTGAGGTTCTGTGTTGTAAAGTTCAGATGCGATTTGATACTAATGGGGATGCACATAGTAAGAATTTGGCAACCAAAAGACCTAGGTCAGCTTTTAGAGCTACCCTTAAGTATAGAAACTGGTATTTGGTGTCTAAGGCGCATTATATGTCAACATAACAGCGTCATTACTTCAAGTTCTTCTCTAGCCCCTCAAATAAAAATATAAAACAGGAGGAAACGAAAGAAAAATTTCCTCAATTTTCGCAAAATTCATTCATTGTCATTTTCATTCACGATTATAGACTTATGACGCATCAACGGCACCGCTTGAGATAGAGACAGAAACTTTTCAACAATATCCGTCAGAGGGTCGTTTTGCCAATCGTGGTCTTAGAAGAAGTCATTCATTTGCCACATCGTCTAGATTTATGGAACCATCAACGACACTTCCACGTTCAATGAGCCGACAAAGTTTCTCGAGTGAATTTCAGGCAAGTGTCAAAGTCAATTATAAAGCTATTATTTCATTCTCATTTGCCGCCTTTTCCCTCTTCATCAAAAAATATTAAATCATTTTCATTTTTCTTTTTTTAATTAATTAAATGTAGAGCCCTGCAACAACTAGAGCCGTTAGTCCTAACAACTTTGATTATTTGCTTTTTCGTGATAATCAAACTAATAATATTTCGATGCCAATAATTAATAAAATTGAACAAGAGCTTGCTTATAAAAGATTTCCTCCACTTCATCAACGCTCAACACGATCATCGCTTTATGAATTGAGGGTGTGGAGTGCTTTTTTATTTTTATGCTGTTTGGGGAGTTGGGATTTGCTGCTGAATGATATTTGTTATGGAAGGGATGTGAGAGTGTGTGATTTTGAAGTTATGAGCGCAATTTTTGATTTCGAAGAAATTTTATTATAATTTTGCAAAAAAGCTCAGAACGGATCAAAAAGCTCTGATATAAACGAAAATATCTAAATCATTCAAAAAGCTTCGAATTATTTAAAACGCTTGTAATGATTTAAAAAGCTCAGAACTATACAAAAAGCTCAGAAGTATTCAAAAAGCTCAGATTTATTCAAAAATCTCTAAATCATTTTGAAAGCTTAAATTTTTTCAAAAAGCTCAGAATCATTTAGAAAAACAGAACTATTCAAAAAATCTCAGTCTTATTCAAACGCTCAAAATCATTTTAAAATTTTCAGATTTTTTCAAAAGGTTCTGAATTTTCAAAAAGTTGAAAATTATTCAAAAAGCTCAGAACTATTCTAAAAGCTCTGCATTATTCAAAAAGCCCTGCATTATTCAAAAAGCTCTGTATTATTCAAAAATCTCTAAATCATTTTGAAAGCTTAAATTTTTTCAAAAAGCTCAGAATAATTTGAAGAAACAGAACCATTCAAAAAAGTCAGAATTGTTCAAAAAGCTTAGAATGTTCAAAAAGCTCAGATTTATTCAAAAATCTCAGTTTTATTCAAACGCTCAAAATCATTTTAAAATTTTCAGATTTTTTCAAAAGGTTCTGAATTTTCAAAAAGTTAAGAACTATTCAAAAAGTTTAGAATTATTGAAAAGCTTAGAATTTTTCAAAAAGCTCAGATTTGTTCAAAAAGCTTAAAATTACTCAAAAAGCATAAACAAGTTCAAAAAGCTCGGAACTATTCAAAAAAACTTAGAAATGTTCAAAAGCTCAGGTTTATTTTATAAGCTCAAAAAGTCAGAATTATTCAAAAAACTCTTAATTATGGAAAAAGCTTAACAATATTCAAAATGCTCAGTTCTCAAAAAATGCGCTTAATTACACACGAATCTCACATTCTGCCAAATATTTCACATTTTTTTAATTTCAACATTTTCCCCCTTTTTTCTTTCCATTTATTTACAAATTAAAAATTTATTTATGAAAACATAAAAAAAAAACGAAAAGGATTTTGAGGCATTACGATTTGAGAATTTTATAAATTCACAACGTCGAATGGATCAAACATCAAACACATCTGCCGGCATTCAATTAGCAAAACTTTTACGCGTGAGTTTTTCAATTAATTTGTTAATTGCTGTATAGAAAAAAATTACAGAAGTCCTCGTGTTATTGATCGAGGGACTTAAGCGCATTTTTATGTTAGCGATCAGTATTTGATTATCTAATTATTAATTTGTTGCAATGAATTTCCATACAGAAAAGGTTTATCATTTAACGGTTTTTTAAAATTCAAATTTTACAACGGCTGGAAAAAAATTGAAATTATAGAGGTAATGTTGAAATTATAGAGGTAAACTAAAACTTGGGCAGGTTACACTGAAAACAAAATAAATTCATTAATTATAGCATAAATACACGGTTTCAAGACTTTTAAGCATTCGATGGGTCAATAAATCGATAGTAACGGAGCTAATAAAATAAACCCGAGCTCTCTACGATGTCTGGTTAAAAAGTTTTTCTTCGCCCGAGCAGCCGAACAGCCAAACAAAGTGTATTATTAAGCTACCTTTTAGAAACAAGTTTCAAAAATGCGCTAAAAATTAAGAGAAATTTACGCAGAAATTTTCCAAAAAAAAAAAATTATATTTTCATTCACACAGGATGCTGAACATTATAAATATACAGCAGAGGAGCTGCAAGCAGCATTGAATCATTGCGAAGGCGCAAATCCCATTCAATGGCTCCGTGAGAATTGGCAAAAATTAATTGAAACTGTTCAGCATTTAGCAACAAAATATGGACATGAATTGAAAGTTAATACGATCGGTACAATTTCGGCAATAGAAGCACGTGAAGCACTCAGAATGCACAAGGGTAATATTTGGCATGCAGTTACGCAATGCATTGAGCAGCGGCAGAAAAAGTACAATGAGGTAGCATCGCGTGGAAATTTTACACGTGAGGATATTGTAACGAGTTTAACAGCACATCACGGTAATATGGAATTGGCATTAATTGAATTGAATAAAACTCAATTGAAGCCTTTTCTAATGAAAATCTGGGGACCACCATCAGGTGTTGATAATGAGAGCGGAAATGTTGCAATGTTTGATTACGAGACGTATCGTAAAAATAGCAGCTTTGGATATAATAATCGTGCAGGTTTGTATGAAAAGCAATAAATAGAAAATGTTTGTCCTTCCGCTGAATGCTCAATTATTGAGTCAATATTATTCAAGTATGAAATTTTCAATTGTTGACAGTTTTTCTCATGACTAAAACGCATTTTTTGTGTATTTTGTATTTTGACGTCCTTATAATCTGGTTTTAATTACGGGACGTCAGTTTTTGTGTTCGATTTAATGAAAATAATTTCAAAAATGTTCAAATTAGATTTTTAAAATTTTTTGTAGAATTTTTTAGAAAAGTTTTGGAAATAAAATTTTTGTAATTTCTGTTCAAAAAAACAATCAATTGAGTTAGTCACTGATTCAAATGTTTCTGGATTTTTGTGTGGCAATTTCAGAAATTGAAGCTATAGGAGCTTTAGGAGGCTTAATAGAGCTTGATAGTGCTTCATATAGATTATTAGGTTTTTTTGTTGACGATCATGTTTCGATGAAGCGGGGACATAGCCAGGAATATTTCAAGAGTGACGAGGGGAGCCATTAATCCCAGGTATAAGGTCGTCAAAATTTGTTACCACTAGTTGAGGGCAGGTTGACCACAAATGACCCCATGGGTGTCAAGAGCTGACCAAGGGTGCGGAACTGATAAGTTTGATTTTGATGAGTTCCGTACCCTTGGAACTGTTATCGACTATCTTAAAAATACACAAAAAAAGACATTAAATAAATAATCCCAAACTTTTATTAATGAAGCTGTCAGCTAGGTCCATAAAAGATTCTCAGACATGCCAAATAAAAATATTCAATTTTATTACCAAAAAGCTTCATCTCTATTGAATCGTAAAGTCAACCAAAAAACCACATTGCATCAAATTTTATTATCTAAGCTTTAAAATAGACTTAAAACAAACATCAACCCCAACATCCAAATTGGCTATATAAATCTAAAACAGTTTTAGTATTCAGCTCTTGAAAATTCCATACTATTCAGCTATTATTATTATGATTATCATCATCTCATGCGAAATAATCATCAAAAATTATTGTTTGTTCTCGTTCCATTTGATTCCAAAATTTTTTTTTATGCCTCATCCAACAAACCGAACGGCATGTTCACATGTACATCAGATCATCATATAGACCCAAACATTCAGGATTATTTAAATAACATCATATCGCATGGCAATAATACGGAAGATTTTTATGGTAAGGATTACTTTAGTCCATCGCCCAAATCAATAAGCTTCCAGTCATCATCATTAGATGATCCCATATACGATGGTAATATAAATGATGATATTCTGTTTACATCGGTCGATTACAATTCAGTAAATAATGCCAATTTACTAAGAGACATTCAGAGTCTCATACACAGCATGGAGCAGAAACAGACAAAGACACAGGCAAATGATAATGTCACAATGCTACAGAACATTGATAGTATCTTGAGTAATATTAAATTAAATGAATCGAGGCCTCATTCACCTCAATCAAATTTGAGTGCGGAACCGATAAGAATGAAGAGTCCAATTATGTTTAAAAGTCGCATTGGCAATGAGGATAAAGGCAGCAATAGTCGAAATATAATCGATGATGTAAGGAACTTTGTGTCTAATAATATCCTTGACATAATGCCCGATTTAGTTGATCAGGTCAAGAATGAATTGACAAATGACATTGAGGATGAATTTTATGATACATTGGAACTGGATAATATGCAAGATTACTTCCGGGATAGGAATAATCAGGAATTTGATGAACGAAATTCGACACCAGTTTTGAAACCTTTCGATGATTTACTGGAATCAGAATTAAATGACTTTCTCCGTAGTCGACATGATGTTGAATTTAATGAGAGAAATGCAGCATCGCCAATGCAATTTAATGCAACTAAAAGATCCAAAGAGAGTGATGATGAACAGGATCACCATATGGAATTTTTGGCACAAAGGTATGAGGAAGAATATTATGAAGCTACGGAGAATCGAGAAAATGCAGCCGAGCAAGAAATTAAAGTGGAAATTGATGATAATCATGAAACTATTGAGGATGTAGATGCGAGTGGCAATTTTGGAAATGGAGTTGATTCAAATGAAACTGACGGTCGTGATTATTGGAATGAATGGGTTGCTCTGGATAATCCAGTAGCTGATGTAGAAGAAGTTGTGGTAGTGGAACCTCCTGTGTCTATAGCAACTCAAATTGAGGATATTCAAGAGCCGGAATCTATGGAAGTCCCTGTGGAGCCTCCTACACTTGAACAACCTCAAATTCGCAAAGACATCCTTCCAACAATCGAACCTCTTAAATACAAATCCAGCTATAACTTCAAAATCCTCAGAAAAGCCACCAGACACACCAAAAAAGAGCGAGAATTTAAGAGACGCAACAGCGTGATTTTAGCTAATGAATTGCTGGGCCGACATCAAGCATCAACATCTTCATCCATTAATTCTCAGCTTAAATCAACAGCTTCAAATGTTGACACACAATCCATACACAACAATGACTTTAATGATGCTGAAAATAACATTAATCATGAAAGTTTAATAACTGTAAATGCCGATGGCAAATCAGATGCGAATGAAAATGAAATTAATTCTTCATCCATTAACGATTCGAGTGCCGAGGAGCAAATGAAAAATGCTCAAGTTCAACATATAATAAATAATGCTCATGCTGAATCAGATGAGAATGTTGCTGGCAGTCGTCGAAATTTAGAAGATATAATGAATAATGAAGCTGTGGCCCATCCAATCTTTATTAATGACTCAAACCTTTATATTGAGCATCAAGATTTTAGTACGAATGACAATTCAACGACCTCATCAACACCCATTCCACAAAGTAGCTCAAATATTTCCATAACAACAATCGAATCTGATGCAACAACGTTCACAAAGCAACCACAAAATCTTTCAGAGCTTGTTGAGGATACTCAGAGACTAATCAAGCAAATGAAAGATGAAATTAATGCTATTTATGTGTCAGACGACGATGATGATTTAACTGGGTCTGATTATACCGAAGAGGCTGAAGAAGAGGATGAAGAAAATTGGGTCGATGACTTTGAAGACGAGGAAGATGTTTATAGTGACGAGGAAGAGTCTGATTATGATGATGATGATTGGTCAGGCGATTATGTCGAGTCCGAACAAGTTGAAACCGTAAATGATGACGAAGCAACAGTAATTGAAGGGCCGAAGGCAACGACAGACATAAACATTATTGTCACTGATGAAACAGAAAGCAATAATACAGAAGCTGAACCGATAATTATGATTGGCAATATTCCAAATGCTGTTAACGAGCCAGAAGCACAAAACAATCATAATGATGATGAGGCAGAGAGTAGCATTGTGCATGGAAAATTGGAATTAACGGTATTATCGACAAATGAGGTTAAAGTTGACACGACACGAGCTCAGAGTGATAATGAGAGTGGAAGTAATGAAAGTTATCCAACACCTTCCACCTCCGCTAGTGTATCGACTAATGAGGCTGAAAGTGTTGCAGAAAATAATGTGAATGGAATCGATACAGCTACGACAAGCCATAATCAAATTAAAGCAACAAATGATGGAAAAATTGATGCAGTCACTAATGACAATGAGAATGAATCGACTGTAATTTACTTAAAGAGCCGAAGTGTCTCTCCATTTGTCCCCATTAGTACATCACCATTAAGTGCATCGAATAGTAATTTGAAAATTGATTCTTATAGTAATGAAAGTGTTAATAAAATTAGCAGTGCTGGAAAGAAAATTAAAAGGAAGGGTAAGATGTCTCGAAGGCCAACGACACCCACCAACACAGCGGTTGTTGTTCAGAATGGAAGTGCTGAGGATGAGAAGCTAGATGTAGAAGGTGGAATTGACAGTTTGGGTGAATCTAGTGTACAGGAACTGACGGAGATTCTACAAAATGTTTCTGTGTCACCAGCGACTGAAATTGAAGATATAGCAACTGTTGACACTCCTGCAGCAAGTGATAATCCACCAATCTTGGATCCAGTTCCATCAATTTCAGCTTCTCCAACTCAGTCAGCTTCCCAATCTTTAGAAACATCATCCATAAAAAGTATTGAAACCCCAACAATTACAAGCGCATCCCAGTCTCCAAACAATACCCCTCATGCCCCATTAACTCCACCTGTCTCACCAATTCCGTCTACATCAACCAACCTCAATCAAATTACACCAACTAACGAGATTAAAGTGGATGAGAATCCCATAAAGGCAATAGTGACTGAAGCCATTAATGACGTTATTAGCACAATTTCCTTTGATGAAATGGAAAATATTGTTGTGTCACATGACGAAAATGACAGTCATTCACAAATTGCCCGAAGCGACAACACAATCGATGACATTGCTAATATTGATAGTGGCATGAATAATTTAACTGCGGAAGTTGTATCGAAAGTTTTTGGCAACGACAATGAATCGATATTATCCGGTAATGGCTTGAATGAGGAAACGGCAATTTTGAATGATTTAGCGGGAGCTGTGAGTGTACAGCATGAAGGTGGGACAACTCAAGATGATGCTGAAAAGTTGAAAAATGGTGATGATGAAAAATCCGAGTCAATGCAAATGGAGCAAAATGACGTGTCACAAATGTCATTAATAATAAGTGTTGATGCGATGCGAACGGAACCAAATGAGGAGGTAGAAGTCACACAAAATGACACTGCAGATAATTCTCAGATTCAAAATTCTATAAGTCATATTATGGAACAGCCATCAACATCAAGCGGGGATAATGCTGTCGTCAATAAGAGTTTAACTGAAGAGAGCAATGTAACTCAAACCAAAGCAAAAGGTACGATTCCTAAAAGTCGAATACCCTCAAAAATAAAGACAGTAAAATCACAACCAACAGTATCGAATGAAACAATCTCAAAAGAGTCAGCAACAGCTGAAAAGCAAAGAAAACAGTCAGTCGACAATAGCAACGCAAAAAAGGACACGCCGTTGAGAAAAAAGTCAGTTGGAGGTCCATTCGGTGGACTTTTGGTGACGTCAACAGTCAAGAATTTACAAAATCAATTTTTAAATAAGGCAACAGCTTCAACATCTAAGCCACAAGTGACAAAATTCAAACCATCGAAGTTAGCTACACCAAAAGCATTAACAAAAGAACCGCCGCAGACATTTGCGAATAAATTAACAAAACTGATAACGCCATCATCAAAAGTCGTTAAGAATGTCGACGATGATGAGGATGAGGATGTAAAAGAAAACAATAATAAGAATGAAAAGACAAAGACTGAAGATATGACACAGCAACAGAGAGATTATAGCAAGGACGTTGTACCCAAAAAGAAATATATGGAACATTGTTTCAGTGATGAATATTCAACGACAACTGATGATGAGGATGACATTAAAATATCACCTCAAAGAGACCTTTTTATTAAAGTGAAGACGCCTAGTGATTCCGATGATGAAACAGCGGATGTAAGTTTGAGAAATGTGCTGCTCGGGAATAAGTTTTACAAAAGTTTTCATTTATTTCACTATTTTTCTTCTTTATTTTTACACATACTCATTCACATCCCACTTCCTTCATCATTTTTCTTCATCTCCATTTCCGTAAACTACACGATTCTTCCGCATCCATGTTCATACCCATGCATATATCTATCTCCACATATATCCACTGAATATAGCAAAAAGTTAATAGATTCATAATGGAAGGTCTCGTTCCGAATCATTTGGCAGCTGAGCTTGCTGTTTCGCTTATCGAATTGAAATATCCTAAAGAGTCAGCATTATGGGTATCAGGACAAGTAACAACAATCGAGCAGGCAATTGAACTTTTACAGCAAGAATGTGAATTGTGTACTGATAAATATCCATTGAATCAAATGATAACGATGCTGAAATGTGAGCATCAATGTTGCAAAGAATGTGCATCAAACTACTTTACGATTCAAGTGAGTACACTTCAGTTTATTTTTATGTATTTCCATTTTTTTTGCTACTTTTGTGTTCTGTATTTTGCTCACTCGAGTCGATCGAGAGCTTTTTTACATGCTCACTGAAGCATTATGTCAGCAGTAATTTGATTAAATCACTGAAAATCGTTTATACCGAACTCTATGCCTTTTGCTTCCTACTTCTATGACTACTGTCATCATTCAACTCACTTCTTGGATGTACCTTTTTACTGAGGAATGGGAGTTGAGCGCGATTTACGGAGGTTTGAAACAGGAGACTTTGAATTCATGTAGTCGATGTAGCAATAGTCATTAAAAAGTATTAAAAGTGTAAATAGCTAGCAAGAACTAGTTCATATTCATAAATTTAAATCACAAAGGTTCAAATCTTAACAATGAAATAAGTATTATACACTCCCTGGGAAAAAGAAACTCCTTTTTGGATTCTGAATCTCAATTTTTTTAAACTTTTTGCTTATTTCCATCCCCACCTACACATATTTCCTTTTCTATTTTTTTTATTATTTTCATTCATTTCACAGATAACCGACCGTTCAATCAATGATTGTGTATGTCCATTTTGTAAAATGCCAGAGCTTCATGATGTTGATGAAGATGTGATTCTCGAGTACTTCTCAAATCTCGATATATTGCTGAAAAATATTTTACAATCCGATGTGCATGACTTATTTCAACGTAAAATACGTGATAGGGCTCTTCTGAGGGATCCACATTTCAAGTGGTGTGTTGAGGTATGTTTTTATGCAAATATTTGTAAGATTCTATTGTGACACATTTGGTGATGATGAAGAAGCTCAGGGGTAGGAGATATATCTTCTTATTTGACCCAATTTTGAACTTTTTGTCCATCTGCTCACCATTTTAAGGTTCTTACCCCTGAGATTTATAACATCTGACAAGGCTTTTCATTATGTCAGGAAAAAGTGAGAGAAAAATTGCACAAAAGCTCTTATTCTTCCTCTTACTCAGTCTTTTTCCTATTTTTACGTGATGATTTATGGAAATTGGCCTTTAACCTACACATCTCTCTCGATACTACCTGAAAAATCTTTTTTGTCTTCTTTATAATAGTGCTCATCTGGCTTTTTTGCTCGACCGAAGCAACGTCGTTTGATTTGTCCAGATTGCGGCTCAGTGACATGCTCAAAATGCAGAAAACCGGTAAGTATATTCATCCTGTATGTTTGCACAATCTCTAATGTATCTTTGGCCATAGAAAATGCTATTGCGGTAAAAAAATAGAGAGAGTTGGTAGAGTGTCATGCTGGCTAGTCGTTGCCATCGACACTCATTTGCATTCCTTTTAAAAGAGACATGAAAATATTGAAGGTCTTTTTATTCTGAATGGAAAGATTTTTGATGAGTTGATTGGTAGATTCAGACCGCTTTAGACTGTTAATTAATCAAAGCGTTGTTTTAGAAATGTTTTGATTTAAAGCGACGCTTCATCAGTTTGCACTCAATTTTGAAATATTGCGTTCAAAAAGGAAGCGACACTTTAAAATGAAAGAACAATTCAAAAATGAAGCGATGCATCAAAAATGAAGCAACTTTTCAATTATGAAGCGATGCATCAAAAAATGAAGCAACTTTTCAATTATGAAGCGATGCATCAAAAAATGAAGCAACTTTTCAATTATGAAGCGATGCATCAAAAAATGAAGCAACTTTTCAATTATGAAGCGATGCATCAAAAATGAAGCAACTTTTCAATTATGAAGCGATGCATCAAAAAAATGAAGCAACTTTTCAATTATGAAGCGATGCATCAAAAATGAAAAAAAAAATGTAATTTGAAGCAATGATTCAGAAATGAAATGAAGCGAGGATTAAAAAATTTGGAGCAACGCTTCATCAAACATATAATTGTGGAAAGAAACTTTAAAACTTTACATTAAACGGCCCGACTACATAAGAGAACAGACTTTATCTCTCAAATTGATTGAAGCACTATCGCATGTGCCTAGTGAAACATTTCACATATGCCTTAAACCAGCATGCATTTCATTTCAAATTAAAAAGTTTATTTCACCACAAAAACCGCTATTGTTTTTCATTTATCTCCTATGCATCTCTCTATTATATCCGTTCGAGTGTCTCTTTTTCCTTCAAATTCTATGGCCAAACTCTATATCTCTCTTATATTGTATGTTGATAATAATAATAGTAAAAATAACAATAATCATATGTAGTGGGAAAAGCAGCACGAAGGATTAACATGCGAGGAGTTTCTGGAATGGAAAGAGGCTAACGATCCCGATTTAAATGCCGAAAGTGTAGCAAAGCATCTGAGATTGAATGGCATTGACTGTCCAAAATGTAAATTTCGATATGATCTTGCACGAGGTGGTTGTATGCACTTTACCTGCACACAATGCAAATATGAGTTTTGTTATGGATGCAATAAAGAGTTTTTGATGGGAGCAAAGTGTAAAGTGTCTCCGTATTGTGCCAAACTTGGTCTACATGCTCATCATCCGAGAAATTGTTTATTTTATTTACGAGACAAGGAGCCGCATGAGCTGCAAAGTCTTTTAACGGTATGTATAGATACAGATAATGATGGAGGAGTTTAAGGGATAGACACTTGATGGAAATTTAGTTCTTGCAGCTTTGGTGGTCATTATAGCAGTTCTGCTTGTCTTTATAGCAGTTCTGCTCCTCATTATAGCAGTTTTCAACTTATTGTAGCATTTCTGTTTTGATTGTCAAAATGTCGTAAAACAAACAATGAATAGAAATAGAACATTCAACCAAGAGTGTTCATACACAAAATAATTTCTAAATTGATTTTTCCCGCACTTCTTCTTCGATTTCCATTTTCTTTATTATTATAGCCATTGAACATTCTTTTCAGATAAATAACATCAATTTCGATACCGAACCACCAACATCATCATCATCAGCAGGTGATGGTGCAAAGGCATTTACAAAGTGTCCTATACAATTACAAAAGGAGTCGCCATCGGGTCTTTTGGATACAATTTGCAATAACGACGTATCCGAAGGACACGCCGGACTCTGTAGGTATGTACATGAATGTTCTTAATAGTGTCAATAAGTCATCATTATGTGAGGCTATAAATTAATAAATCGATTCCTTGTAAAGAATGCCAGTATGTGCTCAGAGGACTGTGAGAATCTTATGACTAGATATGAGAATTTATGCTCTATTTTCATTAATTTTTCGGAGATGTGATTTTGTATTTTGAATATTTTTTGGTGCATTTTTGTGAGATGTGATCGACATGAGAAAATACTTTTTGAATTTTAAGGCTAGAAACTTACTATAGTTTAATTTTGCTTAATAAAACACGATCCAGAGCTACAAAAATGCGCCCTAGTCATCCTCCACCGGTGACTTCTCTCCTTGAAATTTTTTTGCCAATTTTTTTATGTCACTAATTTTTTTTCTTCAACTTCTTTTTCATACCCAAAAAAACTTCTGAATAAAATTTTTGGTCGAATGACTGCCTTCAACAAATGTCCAATAAAATAAACACAGAAGTCACTATCTCGAATATTTGTGCTTCTTAATCCGTCAAAATCGATTGGAGACGTTGAGTATTTTAAAGGCAGATGACCTAGAAACGCTAGTCCGACGAGAAAACCGTCGAATGCCTCCAAAGCCGTACGGCCTTCTTGAAGGAATCTATCGAACATACTTACTTGAGGTGAGATACAAAAAAAATTATTAAATCCATTTTTTTCTCTCTTTTTTACCAACGCTCATCATGACTGTGCTGGATATTTGACACAAATATTACTGTCAACGACATCATTACTTTAATATCGATTTTTCTTGAATGTCCGCAAACATTCACAGATGGCATTATGTTGAATATTTAGTTTCCGTTGTCTATGACGCACATCTTGACCCTTTACCAATATTAGATCTCACTGATTGCGTGCAAGAATTGAGAAGACGAGGCATTGCATTACCGGAACGAGGACCATGGGATACAGATCCAATCTACCGTGAAATGTGTCAAAATGTAACCAGAATTGATGATATTGTCATGCTTGATAATTTTGTTTATTTAGTTAATTGAAAAAATAAGAGAAGATGTAAGGAAGGGGATGAGCAGAAAGAAGATTTTTTTGAGACTTTTTTAAGGAGTCACAAATGGAAGATTAAAAGAGAGATTTAACACATTAGATGATAGGATTTGGCAGGGGTTGGAGACTGTGGAATTTTAGGGGTTCATAGCTGAGCTATGAGAAGAGGAGGAGACTTAAAACCAGGAATTAAGGATAAGTTGAACGGCTTACAATTTTGTTAGAATTGGAGGTTGGAACTAATCAGGTTTTGAAGTTTAATAAAATTAGTATTAAAAAGATGTTGATTCCTTTTCCCTCCCCAATTGATCGCAAGCTGTGATTCTAAAAGATGTTCAGTTATGTGATGCTTCATCAATGATCTTCCAAAATATCATCATTCCATCAATTTCACACCCCTTTCCCAACCACAAACAAAATTTTCCCAAAACCTAACCTCAAAAGTTCCCAAACATCTCTTCCACAGCCCTGAAAGCACAAAAACTTTTCACTTTTCTTTTCAATTTACTCTTTTTTTTTGGCGTTGATTCATTTCTTGCAAGCATGAAACTTAGTATTTAGTAATAGAAAAAAAGTAGAGATAAAGAAATTGAAAAGAAACGAAAAAAAAAGTTGTCGCTACTTTTGCTTCCATCCCACTTTTTTTTCGTTTTGTTTGCTCTAATGTTTCATCCATAATAAAGAAGTTTCTTTCTGTTCTTCCTCTTATTTCTTCATCCCAAAACATAAAAGGGATAAGGAACGACATGAAGAAAAGAAAAGTTCAGCCTTTTAAATTAAAGTCCCCGAGACATAAACTTTTATGAGCACTAGAGAAGAAATTCTGCACTTCCATTTTAATCTGTTATATGCTTTCTTTTTTTTTTCGCCTGCAGATTGTCAAAGAACAAATCCCATTGGACTCGGACTAAGGACGAGAGGAATTTTTTTTTGTGTGCCGACAAAGTGTGAATGGAAATGGAAAAAGCATAAAAATTGATTTTAAGAGATTCAACCAGATTCAACCCAACAGAAAAAGATGTGAAAATGTGTAGAACTTTTTTTTTTGGACTTGATCCTTTGTGGTGATTTTGTCAGAATTTTTAAGGAGGTTTTCAATTGTAAACTACTAGCTACTAGCATGAAATACGATGTATCTTAGAGTCAGGCTTATCCTAAGACATAGCTTAGAGTACGACCTAACCTTAAAAGTTTAATCAATGCTATAGACTACAAAATACAGCAGTAAACAACAAAGTATGCAAAACAGCCCAACACCTGATCAATAATTCTGACAAAACCCCCGACAAGGACTGTCGCATTAGAGTAATGTTGCGAAATAAAAGATTAAAGTTGTTCTTTATGATGCTTCATCATGTAGTTTTTTATTATACGCCTTTTTTTTGCCTCACCAGCACCACCAAAAGCGCCTCACAACTTTTATTTTTAGTCTTCTTGTTCCTCCTTTAATTCATCGACTGGCACTCTCTTGTTTCTTCTGTGGGGATATCCTTGAACATGAATGAAGAGAAGAAAAATTTATTTTATGACACTCAACAAAAAAAATTTATAGAGGCAATGAATTTTCTTTTATCAATGACAATAAAAATTTTGCTCTAATGGATTTCATTTAAGATTCATTAATGATGGAGTTGGGGATGATAATGAGGGGAAGTGAGTATATAGTGGAAATTCTTTAGTATGGCTTTCAGGAAATGTTGACAAGTTTCAAATTTTATGGTTGATTGATTTGAAGAAGATAGATTTTTGACAATACAACTTGGATACGCCTCTGCTTTTTGCCATTCTTCAAAATATAAATCAAGATGGATTATTCAAAGAAATCTGAACATGACTTGCAATCCTAGCTGAGTGGACTTCCACTTCATTTGATAGCTTGAGTTCGATTCCCATAAAGTTCAACTTTTTCAAAAGGATGGACAACAGCTACAATAAGATTTTAAAGTCTAACTTAGTTCTTCATAAAACTACACAAAATCACCACAAGCGCATCCTCCAAACAAAAGGATGCCCGATAATCCTTGGGTAATAATTTTTAACGTTAGCTCATTAATCTCATTCATTGACTATACTTTACACTTCCTCCGTCCCTTTTCTAATACTTTGTCATTATCAGTTTTTGATGATCAAGTGTGTTAATGGCCACGAGAAAGATTTAATGTCTATCGACATTGTTCCGATATTTTTCATTGTCAATTGTTCTGCGAGACAGTTTTTTGTGACAAGGACAATTTTTCTTATTTTTGGACATGAGAATTTTGATGTGGCCTTGCTGGATTAGATTGTGTATTTTATGTAATTTGAAGCTTTTCTGTTGTGAATTATGGAATTTGAGATGCTATGAATTATGGAACTTGAGATGAGGACTTGACATTTTTAAGGTCTTGACTTGACTTCGCTGGTCGTACAGATCAAGTGTGATCCATGACCTCCCTTAGTCATCCCCTAAAACTAGCTCTATCGTTTACCAATTGCCGATTACAAACGCAACATTGTCACTATCAATAGCCTTTTTCCACGAGTTCTTTGGCCTTCCACGTTTTTTAAGGTCTGCAGCCATAAAATTGAACTAGGTTGCCTAAAGTTTAGGGGCATTGATGCACTTAAGGAACTTTATATTGAATATTTTGCAGAAAAGGTAAACTTTCATAAATGTTGAACCGAGCTGGAATCGAACTCACGACCTTAAGATTGCAGGTCAAAATATCTTTCCACTGAGCTATCACTTGTCATTATAGAGCTTGAGCAGAGTAGCAAATTTAATTATTTGTCAAATGTGAACTTAGTCAAAAAAGATTGTTTCCTAAGGCTTAGTTTTAAATGCATAACAAATCCTTCTAACTCACTTATATTTCACTAAAACCTAGATTTATTCTCTTTTGATTTGCCGAGATTTTTAATTAAAATGCACATGCAACATGCAAGTCACTTTCATCAAATTATGCAAACATTTTTCATTTGCAGCTCACTTTCAATTCCTCATTGCGATTTCAAAAAGCAAACGTTTTAAGCTTATGAGTAAATCCATTCCACGAAACATTCATAAACCTCAGGCTAAAGCTTCAAATTGAATCCCACAATCTTTCCAAACAATCCATCCACCAACACAGGATAAACTGACAAACCCTTAAACAAATGTACTGCTTCTGTTCATGCAATTTGCAACCACAACTCTCCATCCTTTAGATTTTTCTTTGTATGTCAATAATTCCCGTTCGATTTTCACAAATCCCCTCAACTACACACACCTACTATTTGCCAAAAATATTCACTCATAAGCTTTCGTACTCTACTATTTTGCAGGTACTCAATCCCACAGTCGATGCTATTAAGGTTGAATGTTATTTGCTATCCGACTATTTATGTACATTTATCATAAGCTTACCTGCTACAGTTTATATTGTATGAAAATACGAAACAAAGAATGAAAATCATCATACCTTGACACTGAAAGCTGGAAAAATGGATACGACAAGAAATGAGCATTTAATAATTGAGATTGGAATTCAGCTTCTTGTCACGTAACAAAACTGAACTTATTAAATTTTCTTTTTTCATCTTTCCGGAGTGCTTTCTTGCTATATTAGCTACTTTTTGTCTTAGATTTGTGTGACTGGGATGTGAATTCGGATGTTGAAGGAGGTTTGGATGACTGGATATGGATTGGATATTTTTTTAAGGGTGTAGCTTGATGTTTTGTTGAAATTAAACAATTACTCAATCTTTTGAATCAAAGTTGATGTCTGCAAAGTAGATTAAAGCTAGGTTTTTAGGTATGTCTTGGTATTACATCGTATGAAATTCATAGCATGCGCCCCATCATCAGCATCCATCCATTTACTTTCCCCCAACTTTTTCATTGTAATGAAATAAAAAATTCCTCATAAGCATTCGATTAAAGCATTAAAGCAGCAGGAGTGTGAGTTCAAAATAGTCCCAAGAATAATGTATCCAGCAATCGAGTAGTGGAAATAATGTTAAAGTAAATGGATGGAAAATGTGTAACATTTTTCAAAATGAAATTGGATCTATAAAGCTGGTGTGATATTGAATTGAAGGAAATTAAGATTCTGAATGTGACTCGATTGAGGCAGATTCGAAGATAATTTTAAACTCAAATATGAGAAGGAATAAGAAGAGGAAGGAGAAATTTCCTGAAAATTTATACAATGAATGCTCACCACACACATGCAATAGATTGCAAATCTCTGTCACAATTTCAATTTTCTTTTCTTCTTTTAAGAATTTATTTTCTTCATTTTCAATTTTCTCCTTTTTGTGCATTTAATTCAGACACAAACAAATGGGTATAGATAGATTTAGAGACTTTTTAATTGTAAGGATTGTTATTGTTTGTGTGGCAATATTGAGGCTAACAGATTGTTTTGAGATTTTGGATTATCAGGAGTGCAAAAAAATGGAGAAAAGCTTGAACGGGGGTGTAGCTAGGGTAAGGGTCATATCCTCTGCAGTGTGGTCATTTTCTGGGGATATCCGAGGTATCATTCCATTGATTCTGAACCGATTAACCAGAATTTTGAGACATAAATCGACGAAGATAAGATTACCCGATCGGAACGCAATGAAATGTTTGCCACCCAGCGACCAGATTGATAGTATAATTAACACTAAGGCAGCAGCCGCTTGGAAGCCATTTCCAGCTGGTCAACCCGAGTGGCAAACATTACAATGAATTTCAATGCGTGCCGATCGGGCAAGGACCAGAGTAACGTACTCACAATAAGACTGTGTACCCTTAGTTGCTCAAAAACTGTCTAAGGTTCAAGGGAAGCAACAAAAATCATGTCTAGTTTGAATCATTCCCATCAAAAATCTATCTTGTAACTCCATTAATCAAAGACAAATCAGAAGTAAAAGCCCAAAAATCTTCAAGAAGAGCAAAAATTCCTTTTTAAACTCAGGAATGAGGTTAGAATTTACGGCTTCAATTTCAAACCACAAATGAGAAAATAGTAAATCGAAACACAAAAGGCAAATTCAGAAAGACAGAAAGGACCATCAATTTTGGTTTATTTCAATAATTTGAGGTTTGCTTTCATCTATTTTAGGAGAACATTTCCATTAAAATGGAATGAGCAATTCTTTGAGATTCTCAACATTCTGATAATGCAGAGTAATTTTTCGTCTGCTTCTTCTATCAGTCAACAGAATCAAAAGTTAATTTTCAAGTACTTGAACAGCATAAAAAGATTATTTTTTTAAGGTCAAGAATGTAGACTCATTTATCGCATTGTCATCCTTAAGATACCCCAACCCAACCATAATAAAGCTTTGAAAATTGTAAAAGCAAATAAAACGAAACAATTTTGCTTCCATCCTTTTTTTTTGCTCGCCGGATATTAAATCATTCCACAGTAAATTCGACTAATCCTTTAAACGATGTTAATGTTTAACTTTGTGGTGATGGCGGGCAGTGGATGGAAATGTATAAAAATAAACAGAACTTTATTAAGATTAACAAAAAAATATTTTATTGATTTTTTGCTCCAAGTTTTGTACAGTATGGCATCGAATATAAACGCGGAAATCAAATTTTTTTATTGAATCGATTCATCGATGATGGAAGAATAATAAGTGAGTCGAGCATTGACGTTAATGGAATTCGTCATCACTTTTTTTTGCCTCTACCGACACTCATTTGTCGTCTCATCATCAGCCGGGTACGGGTTTATGGATGAAAAATCAATAATTGGAAGAAAAATATGAATATTATCGTATTGACATTGAATTTGTGCTATTTTGGTAGCGGGTAATGGCTTTTTACCCTTGTGAGGTTTTAGAAAATTTTCAAACCCAAAAATTTAGTATAAAAGTTTTTCAAAAAGCTGAAATTTTTTTCGAAAAGCTTTTTAAAGTTTTCAAAAAGCTCTTAAAAACTTTGTCAAAAAGCGCTTCAAAAGTTTGTCAAAAACTTCTTCAAAGGCTAGTCAAAAAACTCTTATAAAGCTTGTGAAAAAGTTCTTCAAAAGCTAGTCAAAAAATTCTTCAAAAGCTAGTCGAAAAGTTCTTCAAAAGCTGGTAAAAAAGCTCTTCAAAAGCTAGTCAAAAAACTCTTAAAAAGCTTTTCAAAAAGCTCTTTAAAAGTTTGTCAAAGAGCTCTTCAAAAGCTTGTCAAAAAGCTCTTCAAAAGCTAGTCAAAAAATTCCTCAAAAGCTAGTCGAAAAATTCTTCAAAAGTTTGTCAAAGAGCTTTTCAAAAGCTTGTCAAAAAGCTCTTCAAAGGCTACACCAAAAATTCTTCAAAAGTTTGTCAAAAAGCTATTTAAAAGCTGGTCAAAAAGTTCTTCAAAAGCTAGTCAAAAAACTCTTAAAAAGCTTATCAAAAAGCTCTTCAA